TCTTTTCAGTACAACAATCTCCTGTCCAACATGGAGACCAAGTACAGCGTGGCCGAGGTCTGCAAAGCCAATGGGACATGCCATCCATTAGACCCAGGTAAGACTGAGGGATACATGCCGATGGTCATATGAGAAGTTTGCACCCTAAATAAATAACTAAAATGGGCAATGGAGTAAATGAGCAAACAGTGTAATGATTACTTAATACTTACCAAGAAGTCAAATTTGTTTGACCCTCTCAAATCCCAAGTAATTTTTGGGATTACTGTGCACAAATTTCCCTGCACATTCTAGATACAGCTCATTCTACAGTCATGCCGCGTTTATTTTGTTGATCCAGTATGTTTTATTACGCTCTCTTGTTAAACATAGCCTGCAGTTCAGCCAAACACTGACCGAATTCTTGACTGTCGGTCGTAACTGAGTCATTCATAGCTTCTAAGTTGTGTTCACAATTAGCTCCAAGGTATTAGCTTTTCACTGAATCTGATGCAATTTGTTTTGTTTTGGGATAATTTTCTACATGACATTTGTTGGGAATATGATAAATTTAAGCTTTGTTTGGTTAATTTTCCCAACTGTACAGCACGTCACACATGATGAGTGTCAAAAAGTGAAAAATCCAATGTTTTGTTCTTGTTTCACAGTTTCTGGCTCTGAGAAACAGTGTGATCTGAGTTTTTTTATTTTTTAGATAGCATACTTTTCAACCCTATCAGTGGGTTTTGGGGATCACAGGGTTAATTATTGGTAACTGATACATATAACTACATTTAGCTAGCATGAAATAACGTTGACTACTGACTGAAATGAGTACATTGCCCTGATATATTACACAAGAAGAAAAAAAATCTAAAAAAAAAGAAATAAACAATATTCTGCTGCACAAGTAGTTTTGTTCATTAAAGATTTTGCTTTGTTTCAGATCTCCAGAAGATCATGGCAGAGTCCAGAGATTATGATGAGCTGCTGTTTGCCTGGAAAGGATGGAGAGACTCAGCTGGCAAAGTGCTTCGTCAGGATTACAAGAGATATGTTGAACTGGCCAACAAAGCTGCCACACTGAATGGTATGACATTTAAGATTAATTTAGCATCTACCTTGAGATTCTCCTCCAATCTGTCTTGCTAGGAAAATGTGAAAAGGCTGACCTTTGAGAGCGGGAGAGAGCGGTGTTGTAGAATCTCATTTTATCAGTGCAGGACTGTCAGCTGTAATATGAGCGGTCAGTTTAAATTGGTGTTTTCACAGAACCGTTGTCGGTATTAACAAAGGCAAGTGGCTGGGTTACACTGTCTCAACCACACAGCTGACATTTTGTTAAATATGTGTTAAAGACGCTTTATGAGGGATAGATAAGAAGACTGCTATGTGTTGTGCGTCTGATGTTACACCCTGACTGTATATGAAGATGGACAGCCACACCCTTGTGTGTAACTTTTAGCTTGATACTTTTTAAATGAATGAGTTGTATAAAAATTTACAACCTGTACAGTTGTCATCGAAGGAGAAATTAGCTATAGAGACCAAAACTGTTTTTTGTACCTGGCTGTAAGGATCTTTATTGCTGCTGTAGAGTTGAACATTTTAACATGGGGCTCTATGGGGACTGAGTCACTTTTAGAGCCAGCCTCAAGTGGCTGTTTGAGGAACTGTAGTTGTTGGCACTTTGGTTTCATTTTTTTAGGCTGAAAGTTGCTGTTTGGGGGAAACAGCTAGCCCCTAGCTGTAACAAAAAGCTTTCAAAAACAACTCAAAAGCTACAACAAGTTTAATCACAACAGTTTTTTTTGCCTGACTACTGTATGTCTTCACATAACACCTCATGCTGGTTAGATTTTATTAGCATCGGGCAGAGTAAGACCAGCTGTTGCCTCTGTTTTTTGAGCTAAGCGAAGCACAAAGACTTCATATTTTCCAGACAATCGGGAAAGCTGTGTGAGCTTCACTTCTTAAATTCTTATATTGTTACTACTAATGAAAAGTAGTTTGCTGGACATCAAACACATCTTTTTTTCAGCTTGGTTGTATAAAAACTTGCATCGCCTATATTACAGACTTAGAAATGCACTTCACTGATGTATTTATCTTTGGTATTGTCCAGGTCATTCTGATAATGGCGCTTTCTGGCGGTCCCTGTACGAAACCCCGACCTTCGAGGAAGACCTGGAGTCTCTGTGGAAGGAGCTGGAGCCGCTCTATTTGAACGTACACGCCTACGTCCGAAGGGCTCTGTACAAAAAGTACGGTCCCAAGTACATCAACCTAAAGGGACCCATTCCTGCTCATTTGCTGGGTAAGTGAGGACCTTTGAATGTGGATATTATAAGTTTAATACATTCTCCATACTTCACACTGCCTTCAGAATTTTTTTAGATTACACCAGGATTTCCAGAGCTGAGGTTAAGGTCACAGAACAAAACTAGTTTTGAGCCAGCATTTCACGATGGAATCCAAAGTATTTTAACACTATAGCCAAAACTCTCCTTTTATGTGGGAGCATACCCCATTGATATTCTGTCGTTGGCTGTAGATGCATTTGGATTTAGGCAAGATTTAATTTGCTTTCAGAGGCGTCAAGCGTGAGATTGTGTGTGACAGTTCCACACGGTTAGGGATTGGACCGACTCACAGCCACAAATCCCACTTGGTTCAACACTGGCACAGCTGAGGATGACTTGCCTCCCTGACTTCTTAGACTCAGAAATGTGAAATATGAATGCTGCTTTCTGTCCTTTTCAGGCAACATGTGGGCACAGACGTGGTCTGGCATTATGGATTTGGCTATTCCCTACCCAGATGCCACACAGGTTGATGCAACGCCATTTATGGTGGCACAGGTAAACAAACGACCGGACTAGTTGTTGCATGTTGTGCTGCACACATGATAACACATAAAAAACACAACAAAGAACTCTTCTTCTTGTCAAATTGTAGCTTCAGAGGGTGATTAAGAGGTGTTTCTGTAAAAATACCACTCAAAAGTCCACACAGTCAAAAAAAAAAACATGGATAAATACTGGAGATTTTAATGGAATAAAAGCAGAAAAAGCAGCTGACATCCATAACTGACATGAAGTGTACACGATACATAAATGTTTTATTATTTTTTTTCAAGATGAACAAGTATGCTACCTCCTGTGTAGTCATTTATTTTATAAAAGCAGCTGTTGGTCTTTCCAAATGTTAAATATTTCGTTGCCTGCCAAACAGTTTATATACACACTCATGCATCTTCACATTCTGATTCATTCAGGGCTGGACCCCCATCAAGATGTTTGAAGAATCAGACAAATTTTTCACCTCTCTGGGTCTGCTGCCAATGCCACAAGAATTCTGGGAAAAATCCATGCTGGAGAAGCCGTCTGATGGACGCCAGGTGGTGTGCCATGCCTCTGCATGGGACTTCTACAACAGAAAAGACTTCAGGTTAATCTTCATCTTCTTCTTTTTTTTTTAACTGAACCAGAACCAATTTATAGGCTATCCTCAGAGCTCTAGCATCCTAGCAGTCTTAGATCTAACACTAGACATTAACAGATGGATAGTATGTCAGGTTCTGGGACCTTAACATGCAAGAGAGGCCTATCGCAGTGATGCGATTGGAGAACTGTTCCACAAAGAGCATTTTAGCCAGAGGTTCTTTAAAGAACCCAAAAGGATCATCAAAATATTTGTTTCTTTAGGCACCATAAGTGGAGCTCCAAAAAACTTCAGCAAAAATATTTTTTTTAGGAAACCGTTTAACA